CTTCTCTTCCTCCTCCCTTTTCTCTTTTCCTTTCTTCACCTTCTTTTTGTCATCTTCCCCCTTTTCCTTCTCCTCCTCCTCCTTTTTCTCTTTCCCTTTCTTCCCCTTCTCTTCCTCCATTTTCTCCTTTTCCTTCCTTCCTTCCTTCCTCCTTCTCCCCCTCCTCCTCCTCCTCTTTCCCTTCCGTTCCAGAGGGCGGGGACCGTTGAGGGCGGGCGCCCGAGGTGGAGGCGCCCAACCGCCGCAGAGCCATGAGGCGAGGGCGCGGCCTCGTAGGCCTGGCGGGCCCCTTCCTCCGCCTCCTCCTCCTCCTGGGCGGCTTCTTCCGGCGCCTGGGTGAGGGAGAGGCTCCTCCCTCGGAAGCCTGCCATGGTTTCGCCTTCTCTCTTCCAAGCCCGCTTGAAATCCAGAGGGAGCTGTGTAGGCCTCGGAAACGTTTTGGACTCCCAGAATGCCTAGCTGTTGGCTAAGCTGGCCGAGGCTTCTGGGAGTTGAAGTCTTCAACTGCAGGAGACCCAAACAGCATTTCATGTTGTCCCTTTTCCCTCCCTTAGGAGGCGTCTTTCTTTCCCACAGCTGTATAAAACCGGATTATATGGCAGTGTGGACTCAGATAACCCAGTTCAAAGCAGATCCTGTGGATTATCCACACAACAAGAGAAGCCTGGAAAGGCTGCCAAGAATAACTAAGGGCGCCATCGCCTACACTGCAAAGTTAATGCGGTTTGATGCCGCTTTAACAGCCATGACTCAAATGTTGCAGGATCTTGGGAGTTGTAGTTCTACAAAGTCCTTAGCCTTGGCTGCCAAAGGGTGATGGTTCCCCTCCAAACTGCAAATCCCAAGCCTTGTCTACATTGCCATGGAAGCCAGTTTCTGAACCCAGATTGTCTGCTTTGGATTCTGTGGCAGTGTAGATTCATATAATCCGGTTCAATATAGGTAATCTGGATTCTGAAACAGAGGACCCCTTCTACAATCCAGATTATCTGATTTGGATGCTATTGCAGTGTAGACTCATATAATCCGGTTCAAAGAAGGTACCTAATCTGCATTCAGAAATGGGGATCCCTTCTTCACCGCTGAATACAATCCAAAGTATCTGCTTTGGTTTCTGTGGCAGTGTAGACTCATATAATCCGGTTAAAAGCAGATAACCAGGATTCAGGACTGGGGTTCGTTCTACACTGCCGAATACAATCCAGATTAACTGATTTGGATGCTATGGCAGTGTAGACTCATATAATCCGGTTCAAAGAAGGTACCAAATCTGGATTCAGAAATGGGGATCCCTTCTTCACTGCTGAATACAATCCAAAGTATCTGCTTTGGTTTCTGTGGCAGTGTAGATTCATACAATCCGGTTCAATATAGGTAATCTGGATTCAGAAACAGGGGACCCCCTTCTACACTGCCGTATACAATCCAGATTATCTGCTTTGGATTCTGTGGCAGTGTAGATTCATATAATCCGGTTCAATATAGGTAATCTGGATTCAGAAATGGGGACCCCTTCTACACTGTCGTATACAATCCAGATTATCTGCTTTGGATGCTTTGGCAGTGTAGACTCATATAATCCAGTTCAAAGAAGGTAATCTGGATTCAGAGACAGGAGGCTCTTCTACACTTCCGTATACAATCCAGATTATCTGCTTTGGATGCTATGGCAGTGTAGACTCATATAATCCAGTTCAAAAAAACTAATCCGGATTCAGAAACGAGGGGCTCCTTGTACACTTCTATCTGCTTTGGATTATATCGCAGTGTAGATTCATATAATCCAGTTCAAAGAAGGTAATCTGGATTCAGAAATGGGGACCCCTTCTTCACCCCCGAATACAATCCAGATTATCTGCTTTGGATGCTATAGCAGTGTAGACTCATATAATCCGGTTCAAAGAAATGGGGACCTCTTCTTCACACCCAAATACAATCCAGATTATCTGATTTGGATTCTGTGGCAGTTCAAAGAAACTAATCTGGATTCAGAAACAAGGGGCTCCTTGTACACTTCTATCTGCTTTGGATGCTATGGCAGTGAAGACTCATATAATCCAGTTCAAAGAAGGTAATCTGGATTCAGAATTGGGGTTCGTTCTACACTGCCATATACAATCCAGATTAATTGATTTGGATTCTGTGGTAGTGTAGACTCATATAATCTGGTTCAAAGCAGGTAATCTAAATTCAGAAATGGGGACCCCTTCTACACTGCCGTATACATTCAGATTATCTGATTTGGATTCTGTGGCAGTATAGACTCATGTAATCCAGTTCAAAGCAGATAATCAGGATTCAGGACTGGGGTTCGTTCTACACTGCCGTATACAATCTAGATTAATGGATTTGGATTCTGTGGCAATGTAGACTCATATAATCCAGTTCAAAGGAACTAATCTGGATTCAGAAACGAGGGGCTCCTTGTACACTTCTATCTGCTTTGGATTATATGGCAGTGAAGACTCATATAATCCAGTTAAAAGAAGGTAATCTGGATTCAGAGACAGGGGGCCTCTTCTACACTTCCGTATACAATCCAGATTGTCTGCTGTGGATGCTATGGCAGTGTAGACTCATATAATCCGGTTCAAAGAAGGTACCTAATCTGGATTCAGAAATGGGGATCCCTTCTTCAGTGCTCAATACAATCCAGAGTATCTGCTTTGGTTTCTGTAGCAGTGTAGACTCATATAATCCGGTTAAAAGCAGATAACCAGGATTCAGGACTGATTAACTGATTTGGATTCTGTGGCAGTGTAGACTCTGGATTCAGAAATGGGGACCCCTTCTACACTGTCGTATACAATCCAGATTATCTGCTTTGGATGCTTTGGCAGTGTAGACTCATATAATCCAGTGTAGACTCCAGTTCAAAGCAGGTAATCTAGATTCAGAAACGTGGGTCCCTTCTACACTGCCGTATACAACCCAGATTGTCTGCTTTGAATTATATGGCAGTGAAGACTCATATAATCCAGTTCAAAGAAGGTAATCTGGATTCAGAACCGGGTTCCTTCTACACTGCCGTATACAATCCAGATTGTCTGCTTTGGATTATATGGTGGTGAAGACTCATAATCCAGTTCAAAGAAAGTAATCTGGATTCAGAACCGGGTTTTCCTTCTACACTGCCGTATACAATCCAGATTGTCTGCTTTGGATTATATGGCAGTGAAGACTCATATAATCCAGTTCAAAGAAGGTAATCTGGATTCAGAACCGGGTTCCTTCTACACTGCCATATACAATCCAGATTGTCTGTTTTGGATTATATGGCAGTGAAGACTCATATAATCCAGTTCAAAGAAGGTAATCTGGATTCAGAACCGGGTTCCTTCTACACTGCCATATACAATCCAGATTGTCTGTTTTGGATTATATGGCAGTGAAGACTCATATAATCCAGTTCAAAGAAGGTAATCTGGATTCAGAACCGGGTTCCTTCTACACTGCCATATACAATCCAGATTGTCTGTTTTGGATTATATGGCAGTGAAGACTCATATAATCCAGTTCAAAGAAGGTAATCTGGATTCAGAACTGGGTTCCTTCTACACTGCCGTATACAATCCAGATTGTCTGCTTTGGATTATATGGCAGTGAAGACTCATAATCCAGTTCAAAGCAGGTAATCTGGATTCAGAACCGGGTTCCTTCTACACCGCCGTATACAATCCAGATTGTCTGCTTTGGATTATATGGCAGTGAAGACTCATAATCCAGTTCAAAGCAGGTAATCTGGATTCAGAACTGGGTTCGTTCTACACTGCCGTATACAATCCATATTGTCTGCTTTGGATTATATGGCAGTGAAGACTCATAATCCAGTTCAAAGCAGGTAATCTGGATTCAGAACTGGGCTCGTTCTACACTGCCGTATACAATCCATATTGTCTGCTTTGGATTCTGTGCCAGTGTAGACTCATATAATCCAGTTCAAAGCAGATATTATGGATTATCTACTTTGATAATCCGAATTATATATATAGCAGTGTAGAAGGGGCCTTATATATCCACACTTATAAGATCTTAAATGATATTTCTTATATGACCCTGACCATATATTTTGTGGCATAAGCCTTCAAAAAGCTTTTTATCTGTTTATTTATTTATTTATTTGTTGTGTCAGAGCAACCATATTACACTTCTAACAGAACAAAGCAAACAAACAGACAAATACAAAACTTGTGAGTTTGGTAGTTGATTAAATGTCCTTTGACCAGTATCTGGCCCCTTGGAGTGCCTCTGGGGTTGCCGCAAGAAGGTCCTCCCTTGTGCATGTGGCAGGGCTCAGGGTGCATTGCAGCAGGTGGTCAGTGGTTTGCTCTTCTCCGCACTCGCATGTCGTGGACTCCACTTTGTGGCCCCATTTCTGAAGGTTGGCTCTGCATCTCGTGGTGCCAGAGCGCAGTCTGTTCAGCGCCTTCCAAGTAGCCCTGTTTTCTGTGTGCCCAGGGGGGAGTCTCCCATTTGGTATCAGTCATTGGTTGAGCCTGCCACTTTTGGACTCTCGCTTGCTGAGGTGTTCCAGCAAGTGTCTCTGTAGATCTTAGAAAACTATTTCTTGATTTAAGGCGTTGCTGCGCTAGCTGATATCCAAACAGAGGATGGGCTGGAGATGTCACTGCCTTGGTCCTTTCATTACATGCTGCTACTTCCCGGCGGATGTCAGGTGGTACAATACCGGCTAAACAGTGTAATTTCTCCAGTGGTGTAGGGCGCAGACACCCCATGATAATGCGGCATATCTCATTAAGAGCCACATCCACTGTTTTAGCGTGGTGAGATGTGTTCCACACTGGGCATGCGTACTCAGCAGCAGAGTAGCATAGCGCAAGGGCAGATGCCTTCACTGTGTCTGGTTGTGATCCCCAGGTTGTGCCAGTCAGCTTTTGTATGATATTGTTTCTAGCACCCACTTTTTGCTTGATGTTCAGGCAGTGCTTCTTGTAGGTCAGAGCACGGTCCAGAGTGACTCCCAGGTATTTGGGTGCGCTGCAATGCTCCCGTGGGATTCCTTCCCAGGTGATCCTCAGAGCTCGGGATGCTTGTCTGTTCTTAAGGTGAAATGTCTGTGTTTTAGATGGATGGGATCAGCTGGTTTTCCCTGTAATAGGCAGTGAGAGCACCTAGAGCAGTGGTTCTCAACCTTCCTAATGCCGTGACCCCTTAATACAGTTCTTCATGTTGTGGTGACCCCCAACCATAACCCTAACATTATGAATCACTATGTAAATAATGATCTGCAGGATGTATTTTCATTCACTGGAGCAAATTTGGCACAAATACCCGGTATGCCCAAATTTGAATACTGGTGGGGTTGGCGGAGAGATTAGTTTTGTCATTTGGGAGTTGTAGTTGCTGGGATTTACAGTTAGCCTGCAAGCAAAGAGCATTCTGAACCCCACCAACAATGGAATTGAACCAAACTTGGCACACAGGGCTCCCATGACCAACAGAAAATACTGGAAGGGTTTGGTGGGCATTGACCTTGAGTTTGGGAGTTGAAGTGCGCCTACATCCAGAGAGCACTGTGGGCTCAAACAATGATAGGTATAGACCAAACTCTACACGAATACTCGATATGTGCTAATGTGAACACTGGTAGAGTTTGGGGAAAATAGAATTTGACATTTGGGAGTTGTAGTTGCTGGGATTTATAGTTCACCTACAATCAAGGAGCGTTCTGAACCCCACCAATGATAGAATTGGTCCAAACTTCCCACACAGAACTCCCATGACCAACAGAAAATACTGTCTGTGATGGTCTTTGGTGACCCCTCTGACCCCCCCTCGCGACCCCTCCAGGGGTCCCGACCCCCAGGTTGAGAACCTCTGACCTAGAGCTTCGGAGAGCTTCTGTTCTACCGTCTCAAAAAGCTAATAACATTAATAATATTTATTAATAATAATTATTAATAACATAATAATATTATTATCTTCCTTCCGGAGGCCTTTCTTGTAGAAAAATATTGTTACAACACAAACAAGGTTTCCATAACATAAACCAAAGTATTTATACTTCCTTTAGATAGTGAGATGACATTGCACTACTTCAGTCCTTTTTCAGTTGTCTTTTTATGTGTGACGATGTGGGGAGAAAATGTTTCCTTTTAAATCTTTTTACTGCCTTGTATTGATGAATTTTCCCCTTTTTTAATTGGCTGGGGCTTTCTTGTGAGGTTTTACTTTGAGGCCTTTATATTACAGGCTTGAGACACTCTTGTAGTAAACGAAGTAACACAGTTTTTAAAAAAAGAGCTAATAACACAACATATACGAATCGGGTTCTAAGGTGTCCTAGAAGTCATTAAAAAAACAGAATTTAAAACCCAATTTCCATAGATTTTTTTTAAAAAAATTGTTCACTAACCATGGCCATTGTGTTTTCCTCTTCTCTCCAGATGGCCAGACGTTTTTGCATATCACGTACCCCCAAAAAGTCCTCTCCAACCTCACTGAAGACGGCTTTGAAGAAGATGCGGTATGGAGAACTGCTATTATTGGGAGCTTTGTTTTCCAGAAGGATCACTTTATTATAAACAGGGAATCGTTTGAAATGTTTATGCAGCAGATAAGGAATGAAACAAAGTGGCCAGAAAGCAGGATACAGTTGTCCTCTCGCACTCACAGGTTTGAATTTTGCGCATTTGATTACACCAGGTGAGAAAGGCAGGCTATAAATGAAGCAAATAATCTATCTATCTATATCAAAATGCTCTGTGCATAATGAGTACCTTAAAAACAAAAGAACCAATGAATGAAATCACACCAAATTTGGAAACAAAACGTCTCACAACACAATCAGTAACCATCACTCAAAAAATTATGATTTTGTTATTTGGGAGTTGTAGTTGCTGGGATTTATAGTTCACCTGCAATCAAAAAGCATTCTGAACTCCACCAATAATGGATTTGAACCAAACTTAGCACACAGGGCTCCCATGACCAACAGAAAAAACTGGAAGGGTTTGGTGGGCATTGACCTTGAGTTTGGGAGTTGTAGTTCACCTACATCCAGAGACCACTGTGGACTCAAACAATGATGGATCTGGACCAAACTCTACACGAATACTCGATATGTGCTAATGTGAACACTGGTAGAGTTTGGGGAAAATAGAATCTTGACATTTGGGAGTTGTAGTTGCTGGATTTATAGTTCACCTACAATCACAGAGCATTCTGAACCTCTCCAATGATAGAATTGGGCCAAACCTCCCACACAGAACCCCCATGACCACCAGACTGGGCCACAGCAACGCGTGGCAGGGGATGGCTACTCTATATAAATAATAATGTAATGTTCGTTTGTGGGATAAACATAACTCAAAAACCACTGGACGAATTGACACTAAATTTGGACACAAGACACCTACTAATTCAATAAATGACCATCACTCAAAACATTGATTTTGTCATTTGGGAGTTGTAGTTGCTGGGATTTATAGTTAACCTACAATCAAAGAGCATTCTGAACTCCACCAATTATGGAATTGAACCAAAAACCAAATGTGGCATACAGGACTCCCATGAACAACAGAAAACACTAGAAGGGTTTGGTGGGCATTGATCTTGAGTTTGGGAGTTGTAGTTCACCTACATCCAGAGATTACCATGAACTCAAACAATAATGGATCTGGATCAAACTCTACACGAAAACTCAAGATGCTCAAATGTGAACATTGGTGGAGTTTGGGGAAAATAGAATCTTGACATTTGGGTCAAACCTCCCACACAGAACCCCCATGTGGGCCACAGCAACGCCTGGCAGGGGACGGCTAGTCTATATAAATAAAAATGTAATGTTCATTTGGGGGATGAACATAACTCAAAAACCACTGGACGAATTGACACCAAATTTGGACACAAGACACCTCTCAGGCCAATGAGTGGCCATCACTCAAAAAAACACTGAAAAACACAGTGGAAGGGACTTAAAAAGCCAAAAGATGCCACAGCACATGTGCAAAACGACCCCCCCCCCCCGGCAAACAAAACACACAATAGAATATCCACACGCTCTTGTTGTCATCAGTTCTTATTAGATTTTACTTTTCAGTTCTTATTAGCAACTTCTAATTACAGTCCAGCAAGCAGGTAGTTTAGTCATTGCAGGCCTTGGTCTTTTAGAATTGGTGTCTCCAAAATTATTAACTCCACCCATACATACATCCTCTCATTCTTCCATTCACTCCCACACATCATATTAAATTCACATTTATCAAATCTGCAGTGATATTTTCATGATAGGGATCTTAGTGTCCACAAACATCATCTTTTCGCCATTAAAACCTTTACTGCTGCTTCCAGCATCCCAAAACAAAACGGCAAAGGAGAGGGTTCGTGTGTTGTGCAGAAATACTGTGCTGGTATGGCTGTACCAGGAGCTCCAAGTTTATTTTCTTTCTGTTATCTGTTTGTCATAGGGCAGGCCTCCTGTCTATCATAATTAAGCTTTGGTTCCGCCCCTTGTTCAGGGCTCTGGGAAGGAAAGGAGCCATTTTTGGGCAGTCTCACACAAGGAAGCTGAACTATAGGACGTAGACCAGCTCGTCCCGTAGAAAAGCTTCCTTTCTCAATAACATCTGGGGAAACAGAAACAGAAATTCCAGGGAAAAGGTCCCAAGGCTCTGGCTGAGAGCTCACAGCCTCTCAGCCTCACAGTAATCAGAGGGAAAACAGCCCTGAAGTTTTCTAAGAACTCTCTGGGGGAGGATAGCATTACAGATCCACTGAACTCCAGCTGAAATATCTACGAGCCTCGGCTGGTAGGTCTACTCGATACCCAGACGCATTTGGAATCGGTAGTAGGACCCACACCGATGAGGCATAGATAGTAAACAGCCTGGGAGAGGTTAAATAGGGTTTTTTTCTTACAGAGAAAGTTTAGTTAGTCAAAGTCAGGTGCCAGTCCATTGAGGACTAGGCTAAGAAAGCCTTGAAGTGTTGTTTGAACCATTGAAGATTTGTTGTTTGTTCCATAATAAAGACTTTGTTGTATCATGAAAGACTCTAAAGACTTCAGAAAAATCCCTGAGAACCTCTCTTTGAGGCGCTCTGGACTTAAAGTATACGTCCTATAGAAAAGACAGCTGTTACAGGCCCAGCGCGCGACAGAACAAATACAGTTTTGCAAATACTATCCTGATGAGTGTCTGTATTTGTCTTTGTTTGGTCCTGAATGTTACAGGGCAAGCAGACGTATATCATCACGATCAATAAGAAGCCGTACACGGTTCACCTGATGCAACAGTGAGTGACCGTCTATATTCTTTTTTATTTTGTCCGATTAGGATTGTTCGGAAGCTGGCCAAGCCTTCAAGGTCCCTCCATTCACCTTCCTTTTCCTGATGGATGACTTGAAGGATATTTCGCATATTATTAACAGGCCCCTTCTACACTGCTATATAAAATCCAGATTATCTGCTTTTAACTGGATTATTACTTACTGACTAAGGCGATCCCTCATAGTCCGAGGATGATGGTCCTCCAAGTGTAGTGTCCTGGTGACTGTGGAGCCTGATTCTTGTTCTGCATTTTTTCCCGCAGTGAGGGCATTGGTTTCCAGGTGGAAGGCGGTCCCGGTCGGGGTTGGCTCGATGCGCCTTCCTCCTGGCACGTTTCTCTCTTTCACCCTCCATTCGTGCCTCTTCAAATTCTACAGCACTGCTGGTCACAGCTGACCTCCAGTTAGACTGCTCAAGGGCCAGGGCTTCCCAGTTCTCAGTGTCTATGCCAGAGTTTTTAAGGTTGGTTTTGAGGCCATCTTTAAATCTCTTTTCCTGTCCACCAACATTCTGTTTTCCGTTCTTGAGTTCGGAGTAGAGCAACTGCTTTGGGAGACGGTGGTCAGGCATCCAGACAACATGGCCGGTCCAGCAGAGTTGATGGCGGAGGACCATCGCTTCAATGCTGGTGGTCTTTCCTTCTTCCAGCATGCTGACGTTTGTCCGCCTGTCTTCCCAAGAGATTTGCAGGATTTTCCGGAGGCAGCGCAACTCCTGGAACGGAGGAATCGTTCCAGGAGTTGCATGTGACGTCTGTAGACAGTCCACGTTTCGCAGGCATAGAGCAGGGTTGGGAGGGGAATAGCTCTATAAACAAGCACCTTGGTCTCCCTACAGATGTCCCGGTCCTGAAACACTCTCTGCTTCATTCAGAAAAATGCTGCACTCAGGCAGTGTTGAATTTCAGTGCCAATGTTGACTTTTGTGGGGAGGTGGCTGCCAAGGGAGCGGAAATGGTCCACATTTTCTAATATTACACCATTACGCTGTATTTCTGGCATTAGAGAGGGACTGGCTGGTGACTGCTGGAACAGCACTTTGGTTTTTTTGATTTTCAATGACAGGTATACTTCTGCAAAGGTGTTGGGAGTGGCTTGTAGGTCTTCTTCTGAATGCGCACAGACAACGTTGTCATCAGCATACTGGAGCTCTATAACAGATGTTGTTGTAACCTTGGTTTTGGCTTTCAGTCTGCTGAGGTTAAATAGCTGGCCATCTGTCTGATGGATGATTTCCAGTCCTTTTTGACACCTGATTCCACCTTAAACGGGTCACTTTGGGAGCCATTGCTGTCCAAGGCTGCTGCCATCATGTCATCATGGAGGATTATATAGCAGTGTAGACTCATATAGTCTAGTTCAAAGCAAATAATGTTGACTATCTTCTTTGACAATCTGCGTTATTTGGCAGGGTGGAAGGGACCACAATCTCCCGATGCATAGTAGGGGAGCAGACTTCTTCTACACTGCTATGTAATCCAGATTATAAAAGCAGATAATCCACAATTTGTACCCTTTCTACACTGTCCTTATACTCCAGGATCTGATTCCAGATTATCTGCTTATCTCAGATTGTATGGCAGGAGGGACTCATATAAATCAGATAACCTGGGATTATTATTTTTTTTTGTTGGGTCAGGAGCAACTTGAGCTGCAAGTTGCTTCTGGTGTGAGAGAATTAGCCGCCTGCAAGGATGTTGCCCAGGGAACGCCCGGATGTTTTGATGTTTTTACCATCCTTGTGGGAGGCTTCTCTCATGTCCCCACATGGGGAGCTGGAGCTGATAGAGGGAGCTCATCCATGCTCTCTCCGGATTTGAACCTTTGACCTATCAGTCTTCAGTCCTGCCGGCACAGGGGTTTAACCCACTGCGCCACAGTGTTGAAGCGACCTGGATTATATGAGTCTACACTGCCATATAATCCAGTTCAAATCAGACAATCTGGATTTTATATGACAGTGTAGAAGAGGCCCCAGAGGAGGAAAATGTAAGGAACCCTTCCTTATCACAAAATATGTGTATCATGAAGATAAGACAGGTTACTTCTCCTTTAATATTTTATATGTATTGCATTTTGGGGGCATCCACCTATTTTAGTAGCGCGCTTTGCTGATTTTATTTATTTCTCGTGTCAGGGCAGCCAGTAGATTATATTACATTTCTAACAGAACAAAGCAAACAAACAGAGAAAATACAAAATGTGTGAGTTTGGTAGTTGATTGAATGTCCTTTGACCAGTCTCTGGCCCCTTGGTGTGCCTCTGGTGTTGCTGTAAGAAGGTCCTCCATTGTGCATGTGGCAGGGCTCAGGGTGCATTGCAGCAGGTGGTCAGTGGTTGGCTCTTCTCCACACTCGCATGTCGTGGATTCCACTTTGTGGCCCCATTTCTTGAGGTTGGCTCTGCATCTCGTGGTGCCAGAGCGCAGTCTGTTCAGCGCCTTCCAAGTTGCCCAGTCTTCTGTGTGCCCAGGGGGGAGTCTCTCATTTGGTATCAGCCATTGATTAAGGTGCTGGGTTTGAGCCTGCCACTTTTGGACTCTCGCTTGCTGAGGTGTTCCAGCAAGTGTCTCTGTAGATCTTAGAAAACTATGTCTAGATTTAAGTCGATGTGTTGGCTGATACCCAAACAGGGGATGAGCTGGAGATGTCTCTGCCTTGGTCCTTTCACTATTGGCTGCTACTTCCCGGCGGATGTCCAGTGGTGCAATACCGGCTAAGCAGTGTAATGTCTCTAGTGGTGTGGGGCGCAGACACCCGTGATAATGCGGCATGTCTCATTAAGAGCCACATCCATTGTTTTAGCGTGGTGAGATGTGTTCCACACTGGGCATGCATACTCAGCAACAGAGCAGCATAGCGCAAGGGCAGATGTCTTCACTGTGTCTGGTTGTGATCCCCAGGTTGTGCCAGTCAGCTTTCGTGTGATATTGTTTCTAGCACCCACTTTTTGCTTGATGTTCAGGCACTGCTTCTTGTAAGTCAGAGCACGGTCCAGAGTGACTCCTCCCAGGTATTTGGGTGCGCTGCAATGCTCCCGTGGGATTCCTTCCCAGGTGATCTTCAGAGCTCAGGATGCTTGTCTGTTCTTGAGATGAAAAGCACATGTCTGTGTTTTAGATGGGTTAGGGATCAGCTGGTTTCCCCTGTAATAGGCAGTAAGAGCACCTAGAACTTCGGAGAGCTTCTGTTCTACCATCTCAAAGCTCCCTGCTTGAGCAGTAATGGCACAATCATTTGCTGATGGGCAAGCCCAGCTTCCACTATATTTGTCGAGTTTTTCTATTTATTTTTTTTCTGACATCCCAGGGAGGTTTTTTCCTTTGGTGTCGTTGATTGTCCACTTTGAGGAAATGCCATTTTGTTATGCTTGTTTTCAGAACGTTTTTGCCAAACGACTTCATGGTTTACACCTACAATCGAGGGGGCTTTGTACACCCCAGTTCCCCACATATTCAGGTAAAGAGTTCTTTGTTGCCTTCTTTTTGTAGTTTTAATTTTGCATACTGTTTTCTTTTGAATTAGACAGATGAATTTTTTTCATCTCCCAAAGAAGTTTGCAAAAATACTGTAACTAACTAATATAATATATTATTATATTATTATTAGTATTATTATTATTAATAATAATAATAATAATTTATTGTCAGTGGCTTTCATGGCCGGACTCTAGGACTTCGAGTTCATCTTGTTTGTTTACCAAACCCCGTTCATTGGTAAACAGACGTCTAAAGCATTGGTAAACAGACGTCTAAAGTTCAGTGTGTTGTCGGAGGCTTTATGGCTGGAATCACTGGGTTGTTGTGTGTTTTCCGGGCTGTCTGGCCATGTTCCAGAAGCATTCTCTCCTGATGTTTCGGCTCCATCTATGGCAGCCACACTCAGAAGTTGTGAGAAGTTGGAAACAAACGGGTGGGGTTTATATATCTGTGGAATTATGTCCAGAGTGGGAGAAAGAACTCTTGTCTGTTGGAGGCAAGTGTGAATGGGCAATTTCAAAGGAGGAAACCATGAAAATAAACAAAATCTGGCTAAAAAAATACAACTCTAAAATCAGGACACTAAATAAATAACAACACTCAGAAAATAGTGGAATTCCAGACAGGAAACAATCAGGGCCAGGTAACACCTCCCAACAAAGGATTCCCCCAGGCAGGAAGCAGCCATGTTTTGAAGCTACAAGGCCATTCAATTCTAATGAAGGTGGCCAATTGCAACATTTACACCTGCCTCAAGCAGACAGGATGTGAATTTCCAAGAGGTTCAAATGAATGAGCTTTTCAACTAAAAAAAAATCTGTATGTAAGACAAGTTAGCCGGTAATCTCATGAAACTGTACTAAGTTGAATTATTTAATTTTCCCCTTCTAATATTTGTAGAGAGAATGCTTCTATCGAGGATATATCCAAGGCATCCCCAACTCAGTTGCAATACTCAACACCTGTTCTGGGCTCAGGTAAGAGAACTAGAGGAGCCGCGGTGACGCAATAGTTAAACCCTTGTGCCAGCTGAACTGCTGACCTGAGGTCCCATCTGTCAGCTCCAACTTCTCATGTGGGGACATGAGGGAAGCCTCCCACTGGATGGTAAAACATCCAGGCGTCTCTGGGCAATGTTCTCGCAGATGGCCAATTCTCTCACACCAGAAGCAACTTGCAGTTTCTCAAGTCACTTCTGACATGAAAAAAAAAAGTAAGAGAGCTGAGCTTGGGCCAGTTGCCCATCTAGTCTGGTTTCCAGGTCAAGCTCCAGATGCCAAAAACTCTTTCTTGGAGTACCTTTGAAAAGGAAAGAGAGGAGTCCGGAACATAAGCATTCATTGGCTAAAGTCCACTTCATCATGGAGTGAAGGGTCAATGAGCAGGTGGTGCAAGTGGCGATGGAAATGCACAACTTTGCTGGCAAGGTGTCCAGTTCAGTTATAGCAATGGCCCCCAAGGGACAGAATCAGGAGGAAAGATGGTGCCTAAAGTCAGGATGAGAGATCAACATATGAATAGTGGAGGGAGTTATTGGAAAGTTGTTGGAGGATGGCTAAGAACCAGATGTGATAGGCCAAGGATGCCATCATGAGTTTGGAGTATTTCCATAGTATTATAATAGACTAGCTGCCCCCTGCCATGCATTGCTGTGGCCCAGTCTGTGTATATGTGTTTTCTATGTGCATATATTTGTGTATATGTGTATATATGTGTGTTTGTGTGTGTACATGTGTGTGTGTATATGTAATTTTGAATTTTTTGGGGCTTTTTAAGTGTCTTCTGCTGTGTTTTTCAGTGTTTTTGTGAGTGATGGTCACTCCCTGGCCTGATAGGTGTCGTGTGTCCAAATTTGGTGTCAATTCGTCCAGTGGTTTTTGAGTTATGAACGTTACATTTTTATTTATATAGATGACTAGCTGTCCCCTGCCACGCGTTGCTGTGGCCCAGTCTGTGTCTGTGTGTTTTATGTGTGTATATATGCGTATATGTGCATGCATATATTTGTGAATATGTGTATATCTGTGTGTTTGTGTATATATGTGGTTTTGCGCATGCGTTGTAATGTATATTTTGGTTTTTGGCTTTTTAAGTTTCCATTCTTCTGACCAGGGCCCCCATCCCGCAGTCAACAAATTTTGAATGCGTCCACCTGAGGGTGGGTGACCGGGACAGATTAGGGATTCTGTTAGTGTACCGTCCACCTCGCTGCACTACAGACTCCCTGACTGAGCTAGCGGGGGTGGTCTCGGACCTGGCGTTGGAGTCCCAACGGCTGCTTGTGCTGGGGGACTTCAATGTCCATGCCGAGGCCGCCCTATCGGGAGCGGCTCAGGACTTCATGTCTACCATGGCAACCATGGGGCTGTCCCAACAGGTATCTGGCCCCACCCACAGTGCTGGACATACATTGGACTTGGTTTTCTGCCAGGGATGGGAGGAAGGTGGCGGTGTTGAGGAGTTATCCATCTCTCCGTTGCCATGGACCGACCACCACCTGGTCAGCTTTAGACTCACTGCACCCCCTAACCTCCGCAGAGGTGGAAGACCCATTAAATTGGTCCGCCCCAGGAGGCTTATGGATCCGGATGGATTCCTGATGGCTCTTGGGGAATTTCCCGCCACCTCGGTTGGTGATCCTGTTGATGCCCTGGTGACTCTCTGGAATGGGGAGATGGCCAGGACAATAGACACGATCGCTCCGGAACGTCCCCTCTCAAGTAGCCGAGCTAAACCAGCTCCTTGGTTCACCGAGGAGCTGGCAGCGATGAAGCGAAGGAAGAGGGAACTAGAGAGTGTGTGGCGTTCAGATCCGTGTGAGCCAAATCGAACACGATTTGTGTCCTTTTTAAGGGCATATGCCGCGGCAATAAAAGCCGCAAAGAAGGCCTTCTTTGCGGCCACTATTGCGTCTGCAAAGAACCGTCCGGCTGAGCTGTTCCGAATTGTCAGAGGCCTTTTAAATCCCACCACTCAAGTGGGTGCCCTGATGACTCGGCAGCTCGCTGTGAAGCTTTTGCTCAGTTCTTCGCAGACAAAGTCGCTTTGATCCGCTCTGGACTGGATACCATATTAACGGCAGTCTCTGAGGATGTAACACGAGCATCTGCTTGTCCAGTTTTGATGGATTCATTTCAATTGGTTCAATCCGAGGATGTGGACAAGGTGCTTGGAGGAATGAGAGCTACCACATGCATCCTAGACCCCTGCCCATCCTGGCTTCTAAAGGAGGCCAGAGGGGGATTGGCCGAGTGGGTGAAGGTGGTGGTTAATGCCTCCCTTCGGGAGGGCAAAATTCCAGCCAGCTTAAAGCAAGCTGTGATAAAACCGCTGTTGAAGAAACCATCACTGGACCCCACTCAATTCGTCAACTATCGGCCTGTTTCCAATCTCCCCTTTTTGGGCAAAGTCATGGAACGTGTGGTGGCCTCACAACTCCAGGCATTCTTGGTAGACACGGATTATCTGGATCCGGCACAGTCTGGCTTTAGGCCGGGTCATGGTACCGAGACAGCTTTGGTCGCCTTAGTGGATGATCTGCGTCGGGAGCTCGACAGGGGGAGTGTGTCCCTGTTGGTGCTGCTCGACCTCTCAGCGGCCTTCGATACCGTCGACCACGGTATCCTTCTGGGACGCCTCGCGGGGATGGGTCTTGGGGGTACTGTTTTGCAGTGGCTCCGCTCATTCCTCGAGGGTCGGTCTCAGAAGGTGTTACTGGGAGACTCCTGTTCAACCCCACAACCTTTGTCTTGTGGGGTTCCTCAGGGTTCAATATTGTCTCCCATGTTGTTTAACATCTACATGAAGCCGCTGGGCGAGATCATCCGGAGTTTCGAGGTGCGATGTCATCTGTACGCAGATGATGTCCAACTCTGTCACTCCTTCCCACCTGCTACTAAGGAGGCTGTCGAGGTCCTGAACCGGTGCTTGGCCGCTGTGACGGTCTGGATGAGGGCGAACAATTTGAAATTGAATCCAGACAAGACAGAGGTACTCCTGGTCAGTCGCAAGGCCGAACAGGGCATAGGGTTACAGCCTGTGTTGGAAGATGCAGGTTCGCAGCTTGGGTGATCCTGGACTCATTGCTGAGCCTGGAACCCCAGGTTTCAGCGGTGACCAGGGGAGCATTTGCACAGTTAAAACTTGTGCGCCAGCTGCGTCCGTACCTTGGGAAGTCTGACTTGGCCACGGTAGTCCACGCTCTAGTTACATCCCGCTTAGACTACTGCAACGCTCTCTACGTGGGGTTGCCTTTGAAGACAGCCCGGAAGCTCCAATTAGTCCAACGGGCGGCAGCCATGATTCTAACAGGAGCGGGCGCAGGGAGCATACAACTCCTCTGCTGCACCAGCTCCACTGGCTGCCGATCTGCTACCGGGCTCAATTCAAAGTGCTGGCGTTGGCCTTTAAAGCCCTAAACGGTTCTGGCCCAACTTATCTATCCGAACGTATCTCAGCCTATCAGCCCACCAGGACCCTAAGATCTTCTGGGGAGTCCCTGCTCTCTATCCCGCCGGCTTCACAAGTGCGGCTGGCGGGAACGAGAGACAGGGCCTTTTCTGTGGTGGCCCCTCGGCTTTGGAACACCCTCCCCATAGAGGTACGATCAGCCCCCTCGCTGATGGTGTTTCGGAATAGATTGAAGACATGGATGTTTAAAGAAGCATTCGGTTAATCCGTTGCAACGAATTTTGTTGACTAAAGGATTGGTAATCATGGACGATGAATTTTGGACTGCGATTCCAGTTATGAGATGCATGGGATTATTATTGGTGGCCCAATAATTTGTATTGTATATGTGTTTTATGCTTTTAAACTGAATACTGTTTTTTAAATGTTGTAAACCGCAATGAGTCGCCGACTTAGGCTGAGATATTAGCGGTATACAAGCGTATAAATAAATAAATAAATAAATAAATAAGTCCCTTCTGCTATGTTTTTCAGTGTTTTTATGAGTGACAGTCACTCATTGGCCTGACAGGTGTATTGTGTCCAAATTTGGTGTCAATTTCAGTTATGTTAATCCCACAAAAGAACATTACATTTTTATTTATATAGATCAGTGTTTCTCAACCTGGGGGTCGGACCCCTTGGGGGGGGGGGTGTCATGAGGCGTTGTCAGGGGGGTCACCAAAGACCAAAGACCATCAAAAAACACAGTATTGTCTGTTGGTCATGGAAGTTTGATCCAAATATATCATTAGTGTGATTTGGAATGTTCTTTTATTGTCTGTGAAATATCAATCCCAGCGTCTACAACTACCAAATGTCAAGATCTGTTTTCCCCAAACTCCGCCACTGTTCACATTTGGGCATATTGAGCATTCATGCCTAGTTTGGTCCAGATCCATCATTGTTTGAGTGAACTACAACTCCTAAACTCCAGGTCAATGCCCACCAAACCCTTCTAGTGTTTTCTCTTGGACATGGGAGTTCTGTGTCCCAAGTTTGGTTCAATTCCATTGTTGGTGGAGTTCAGAATGCTCTTTGATTGTAGGTGAACTATAAATCCCAGCAACTACAACTCCCAAATGACAAAATCAACCCATCCAAACCCCACCAGTATTCAAATTTGGGCATATTGGGTGTTTGTGCCAAATTTGGTCCAATGAATGAAAATGCATCCCGCGTATCAGATATTTATATTATGACTCATAATGGTAGCAAAATGACAGTTGTGAAGTAGCAACGAAAATAATGTTATGGTTGGGGGTCTCCACAACATGAGGAACTGGATTCAGGGGTTGCAGCATTAGAAAGGGGGAAGGTATTTGGAGAGATAGAAGCTATAATGGATATGGAGATAGGGAAAAGTGCAAGTATTGCATTGTTGTCACTATATAATGTTAATAAATTGAAAAAAAAAACAGAGAAAGATGCAATAGATAACATGTTAACTGCAGCAAGATTACTGATAGTGAAGAATTGCAAAGGTAAAATAAACATATCAATTGAAGAACCTCCACAACCTTTGACTTGTGGGGTTCCACAGGGCTCAATACTGTCCCCCATGCTGTTTAATATCTACATGAAGCCGCTGGGAGAGATCATCCGGAGTTTTGAGGTACGATGTCATCTGTACGCGGATGATGTCCAACTCTGTCACTCCTTCCCACCTGCTACTAAGGAGGCTGTCCAGGTCCTGAACCGGTGCTTGGCCGCTGTAACGGTCTGGATGAGGGCGAACAAATTGAAACTGAATCCAGACAAGACAGAGGTACTCCTGGTCAGTCGCAAGGCCGAACAGGGCATAGGGTTACAGCCTGTGCTGGACGGGGTCGCACTCCCCTTGAAGACGCAGGTTCGCAGCTTGGGTGTGATCCTGGATTCATCATTGAGCCTGGAACCCCAGGTCTCGGCGGTGACCAGGGGAGCATTTGCACAGCTTAGGCTCGTGCGCCAGCTGTGCCCGTAGCTCGGGAGGTCTGACTTGGCCACGGTAGTCCACGCTCTGGTTACATCCCGCTTAGACTACTGCAACGCTCTCTACGTGGGGTTGCCCTTGAAGACGGCCCGGAAGCTTCAACTGGTCCAGCGTGCAGCAGCCATGTTACTAACAGGAGCAGGACGCAGGGAGCATACAACGCCCTTGTTGTACCAGCTCCATTGGCTGCTGATCTGCTACCGGGCTCAATTCAAGGTGCTGGCGTTGGCCTTTAAAGCCCTGAACGGTTCCAGCCCAAGATACCTATCTGACCGCATCTCGGCCTACAAGCCTACGAGGACTTTGAGATCGTCCGAGGAGGCCCTGCTCTCGATCCCGCCTGCCTCACAGGCACGCCTGGCGGGGACGAGAGACAGGGCCTTCTCGGTGGTGGCTCCTCGGCTGTGGAACACCCTTCCCGTGGACATCAGACTGGCTCCTTCCCTGATGATATTCCACAGGAAACTAAAGACCTGGCTGTTCAAGAAGGCGTTCGAACAAGAAGTGCAATAATTGGTAATGACGACAGGAATGGAACAACGGAAAATGATACTGGATTGTGGTTTAATGATGAGACGACGTGAATGGCTTTTTGTATTAGTGATATTGTTGATGTGTCTGACGATGTTTTTTGGTTATTGCTGGATTGATTTTAGATTGTATCTTGTAAATTGTACCCGGTCCTTTCTATGTTGTACACCGCTGTGAGTCAGGAAAGGGGTATGGAAGGAAAATGATTTTGATAAAGTTTGGGGAAAATTTATTGAGAATGGCTTAAAAGAAGTAGACGGGAAATTACCTCCACAAGAAGAAATGGTATTTTGGAAAGAGAATGCAAATTGAAGTGGCTCGGAAGGGGGGGGCACAGAGGTGGGGGGGGGGAAGTATACAAGATATATATACACTTTGGTTGATGTAATGAATTGAGGATGGAATATAAGATTATTGAAGGTATTGATGTATTGATGTATTCTAAGAAAACCAATTAAAAATATTTGGGGGAAAAAAAGAAAGGTTGAGAACCACTGATACAGATGATGTGATTGTAATGATATTTCTTGAGTCGAACCTTCCAGTGCCCGACGGGACAGCTCCTGGTGAAAGTTGAGGAGGAAGTCCAGAAGCAGGGTTACACTTGAGTCTTAGAAGGCAAAACTAAGGATTACAGCAGTGTTTCTCAACCTGGGGGTCGGGACCCCTGGAGGGGTCGCGAGGGGGTGTCAGAGGGGTCACCAAAGACCACCAGAAAACACAGTATTTTCTGTTGGTCATGGGGGTTCTGTGTGGGAAGTTTGGCCCAATTCAATCATTGGGGTTCAGAATGCTCTTTGATTGTAGGTGAACTATAAATCCCAGCAACTACAACTCCCAAATGTCAAGTAAATTTTTCCCAATCTCCACCAATGTTCACATTTGGGCATATTGAGTATTCGTGCCAAGTTTGGTCCAGATCCATAATTGTTTGAGTCCACAGTGCTCTCTGGATGTAGGTGAACTACAACTCCCAAAACTCAAGGTCAATGCCCACCAAACCCTTCCAGTATTTTCTGTTGGTCATGGGAGTTCTGTGTGCCAAGTTTGATTCAATTCCATCATTGGTGGAGTTCAGAATGCTCTTTGATTGTAGGTGAACTATAAATCCCAGCAACTACAACTCCCACAGGACAAAATCAATACCCTCCCCCAATCCCACCAGTATTTAAATTTGGGTGTATTGGGTCTTTGTGCCAAATTTGGTCCAGTGAATAAAAGCCATCCTGCATATCAGATATTTACATTACTATTCATAACGGCAGCAAAATGACAATTATGAGGTAGCAACAAAACTAATTTTATGGTTGGGGGGTCACCATAACATGAGGAAGCGTATTAAGGGGTCGTGGCATTAGGAAGGTTGAGAACCACTGGATTACAGGATGGTTTGCAATATTTTAAAGTGAAGGGTGGGCGAAATGTCGAGAATATGGGGGAAGAGAAAAGAGAGAGGAAAAATGAAATGAGATGGGGACTGGATTCCATAGTTAGGACAGGGAATGGCCAGAAGGTCACTGTATCTTGATTGGCGCTTTTTCTGCCTTCCAGAGGGTTGCTGCAGTTTGAAAATGTCAGCTATGGGATCGAGCACTTGCAGTCCTCCAGTACCTTTGAACACCTGATCTATCAACTGAACAACAAAAACCTCAACAGCCCGCTTTGGACAGAGAGCTTCTCTCCGTTGGAGAGACCATCAGGGGATGGCGGTGTGTCTTATAAGCTACTTTCCGATACTAAAGTGAGTCCTTCCCCTTTTGTGTCTTTTGGAAATGATTTCGTGTACTAGTGGCTTGCCTATTAACCATGTCAAGAGTACTTCTGAAATCTTAAACATGTTCTTTTATTATGTTTTCAGTGAGATGGAGTATGTCAGTTCAGCAGTTCATGATTTTTTTTTTGGTCAGAAATATTCAACATTAACTAGGTATTTTAAATTACAAAATTAAAAATACCTGGTGGGAATGGCTGATGGGAACGAGAGAATGGCTGATGGGAACGCGCGGCTGGTGGGAACGAGAGACAGGGCCTTTTCTGTGGTGGCCCCTCGGCTTTGGAACACCCTCCCTATAGAGATACGATCTGCCTCTTCGCTGATGGCTTTTCGGAAGACACTAAAAACTTGGTTGTTTAAACAAGCATTCGGTTAGTCTGTTATTACCGAACTTTGCTGACTAAGGACTGGTTAATTATGGATGACGAACTCTGGATTGGTGATTTTATTGACGAGATGCATGGTATTATTATTGGTGGCCCAATAATCTGTATTGTCTATGTGTTGTTGTTTTAAATTGTATATTGTTTTTAATTGCTGTAAACCGCAATGAGTCGCCGACTTAGGCTGAGATATTAGCGGTATACAAGTGTATAAATAATAATAATAATAATAATAATAATAATAATAATAATAATAAAAATGTGAGTCAAGCACTAACAGGGTTAAATGGATGTAATAACTCAGCAAAAGCTGTAGTTCAGTGTTTCTCAACCTGGAGGTCGGGACCCTTGTGGGGGTCGCGAGAGGGTGTCAGAGGGGTCGCCAAAGATCATCAGAAAACATCGTATTTTCTTTTTTTTTTAAAAAAATAATTTTTTATTGAGGTTTTTTCCTTCAAACAGTGAAAGAGGGGGAACAATCAACGTGACAGGAAAGTAGGAAATTTAGGAGGTGGGATAGGGTTGTGAGGGGAGAAGGAGAAAAAAAAAAGAGAGATATAAAATCCATGACTTCCAGTTCAGTCCGCAGAGGTATGAACGTTGTGTTGTTTGCGTCTTCTTATGGTCTCATTCGCCCTTTATTCAATGTTAACTCATGGCGGCGAATGTTATATTTTAAGTTTAATTTTTTCTCTTAGGTACTGATTCCAGTTTGTTGGATTTCCAATATTCTGGTCCCTTAATAAGTGAGAGAGTCTATCCAGGTCCATGTATTCTACTATTTTCTTAATCCAGTCCTCATTGGAAGGGGTTTCTTTCATTTTCCATTTTTGTGCAATTAATATTCTTGCTGCAGTTGACAGATAAAAAATTTTTTCCTCATTTTTCTTTAAGTCAAGATTTGTAATGTTCAGCAAGTAATATTCAGGTTTCATGTCAAATTTTGTTTTAATTATATTTTGTGTGTGCTTATGGACCAATGTCCAGAATTTTTGTATCTCCTTGCAACTCCAAAATAGGTGAAAGTAAGTTCCCGTCTCTTTCCTATACTTCCAACATAAACTATTATGTTTCTCGTTGAACTTAGAGAGTTGGACTGGTGTCAAGTGCCATCGGTAAAACACTTTAAACCAATTCTCTATTAAATTAATGGCTTTTGTGAATTTTAATTTAATCTTCCAAACATGTTCCCACTCTTTTAAAAGTATAGAGTGGCCCATATCTCTCGCCCACTCGTCCGAGAAAAACAGTATTTTCTGTTGGTCATGGAGTTCTGTGTGGGAAGTTTGGCCCAATTTTATGGTTGGTGGGGTTCAGAATGCTCTTTGATTGTAGGTGAACTATAAATCTCAGCAATGACAACTCCCAAATGTCAAGTCTATTTTCCCCAAACTCCACCAGTGCTCACATTTGGGCATACTGAGTATTCGTGCCAAGTTTGGTCCAGACCATCATTGATTGAGTCCACAGTGCTCTCTGGAGATAGGTGAACTACAGCTCCCAAGCTCAACATCAATGCCCACCAGGCCCTTCCAGTATTTTCTGTTGGTCATGGGAGTTCTGTGTGCCAAGTTTGGTTCAATTCCATTGCTGGCGGAGTTCAGAATTCTCTTTGATTGTAGGTGAACTATAAATCCCAGCAACTACAACTCCCAAATGATAAAATCAACCCTCCCCAACCCCATATGGGGTATTTGGGCATATTGGGTATTTTTACCAAATTTGGTCCAGTGAATAAAAATGCATCCTGCATATCAGATATTTACATTAAGAGTCATAACTGTAGCAAAATTACAGTTATGAAGTAACAGTGAAAATAATGTTATGGTTGGGAGTCACCACAACACGAGGAACTGTATTAAGGGGTCGCAGCATTAGGAAGGTTGAGAAACACTGCTGTAGTTCAATATAAGTAGGTGTGCCTGTATCTTAGAAGCCCTCAGTCTGTGAAAGGCCTCTGTGGGAGAAGGGCCTCAGTGTGTTAGTAGGCCTCAGTTTGAAACGGTATCAGTGCTAGTTTGCCTCAGTGTGAGAAAGTTGCCAGTCTGAGAGAGCCCTCAGTGTGAGAAGGCCTCAGTATGAGTAGGCCTGGTGGGAGAAGCTTCAGTGAGAGAAGCCCCAGGTTGAAGACCTTGTGTGTGAAGCTCCAGTGTGAAGGCTGCTGTGTGTAAAAAGCTCCTGTGTAACGTTGGTGTGAGAGGAGGCTCTGTGAGAGTGAAGCTGTTTATCTGCATGAGAAAGAAGCCCAGCATGGAAGCAAAGAAGGAAGTATAAAGAACTTCATTCACGTTATGGAAACCTTGTTTTTTAAATAGTGCAACCATATTATGTGTTGTGACTCAGTTTGATTCTGAGTCTGAAATTGAACCCCGTGGGTCTTGTGAGCCAGAGTTCCCTGATGAAGAGTATGATGGGATTCTGATTTCTGTTGTGCCTGCTTCAGACAATGCAGCAGGGGAAACATCAAGTTAGTTCTCAGGGGAAAAGAATGGCAGTGGGATATATAACAGCCAGATGGAGTTGTCTTCGCCTTCTTAGTCTTCCCACGATGATCTAGTCCAGCTGGACCAAGATAAAGAAAGCCTTGAAGATAGTGAATTATTGAGCAGGCAATAATGCTTAGAATTAAGGGTTCGGAGGAGCTCTCGCTTAGCTGGTAAGCGAGAAGCCAAGTCGGCCAAGGGTCATCGCAATGCGTTCATGACTGCAAAGGGTATTTAGGCTTCTGGCTGACAAACGGGAATTGTCATTTCAACGTGGCTCATTCCAGGCAAACTCCTATGGATTAACCTTGGCTTTAAGCAGCTCGCTTTTGGCTTCCTGAATCTGGGATTTTGGGTCTTGTGTTTCACTGTATTACCATGGACTCTTGTTTGATCATTGCCTAAAGGATTATGCTTCATTTTTTTACCTTGGGGACTGAGTTTTTGCATTTAAGCTTTTGTCCTGCTTATGGAACATTTGCATTTCTTATTCTATGTTTGACTTTGCTTTTTTTCTCAATAAACTACATAATCTACAACTCTGGTGTGGTGGTGTTTTGGGAGCAAGGTGAAATTACCCTGAGTTGCAACATTATTTTGCTATAATGAAAAGCCTTCTAAGGAAGAGATAACATTGGTCGGTGTGTTTTTGTTCCTTTTTATCACTTTTGGCTACTGGTGCTGCGTCAGGCTGCTGCTAATAAGTTACTCTGCTGTACATTCAAGGGGAGGGTCTTTTGTTAATAAGCCCACTCGCCCAACATGTTTCACTTCCTTTTGCAGTTTCCCAGGCTTCAGTCTTCTTAGAATGGTGTCTTCAGTCTTGACCACCCCAATCATACACCAACCATACAATTTCATTCAATCCACACATCATATTTATAAACCTACAAATCACAACCCATGTTCTAAAGCAGTGTTTCTCAACCTGGGGGTCGGGACCCCTGAGGGGGTCGCGAGGGGGTGTCAGAGGGGTCGCCAAAGACCATAAGAAAACACAGTATTTTCTGAAGGGCATGGGGATTCCACGTGAGAAGTTTGAGCCAATTCTATCATTGGTGGAGTTCAGAATGTTCTTTGATTGTAATGAACTATAAATCCCAGCAACTACAACTTCCAAATGTCAAGATCTATTTTCCCCAGACTCCACCAGTGTTCACATTTGGGCATATTGAGTATTCATGCCAAGTTTGAGATAGGTGAACTGCAACTCCCAAACTCACGGTCAATGCCCACCAAACCCTTCCAGTATTTTCTGTTGGCCATGGAACTTCTGTGTGCCAAGTTTGGTTCAATTCCATCATTGGTGGAGTTCAGAATGCTATTTGATTGTAGGTGAACTATAAATCCCAGCAACTACAACTCCCAAATGTCAAGGTCTATTTTCCCCAAACTCCACCAGTGTTCACACTGGTGTATTTGTACCAAGATTGGCCCAGATACATCATTGTTTGAGATAGGTGAACTACAACTCCCAAACTCAAGGTCAACACCCACCAAACCCTTCCAGTATTTTCTGTTGGTCATGGGAGTTCTGTGTGCCAAGTTTCTGTTGGCCATGGAAACCTTGATGGAGTTCAGAGTTCATTGGTGGAGTTCAGAATTCTCTTTGATAGTCGATTAACTATAAATCCCACAGTGCTCTCTGGATATAGGTGAACTACAACTCCAAAACTCAAGGTCAATGCCCACCAAACCCTCCCAGTCTTTTCTGTTGGTCAGGGGAGTCCTGTGAGCCAAGTTTGGTTCTAATCCATCGCTGGTGGAATTCAGAATGCTCTTTGATTATAAGTGAACTATAAATCCCAGCAACTACAACTCCCAAATAGAAAATTTGGGTGCATTGGGTATTTGTGCCTCAGTTTGGTCCAGTGAATGAAAATGCATCCTGCATGTCAGATATTTACATTATGATTGATAACAGTAGGAAAATGACTGTTATGAAGTAGCAACGAAAACAATGTTATGGTTGGGGGTCAACACAACATGAGGAACTGTATTCAGGGGTCACGGCATTACGAAGGTTGAGAAACATTGCTCTAAAGGTAGGTGATAGTAGCTGATACGTGAAACTATAGATATTGAGTCTGCGGATAAGGAAATTGTATTGTCTTGAAACCTTGAATTATATCTGAACTAGCTGTGCCCTGCCACGCGTTGCTGTGGCCTATAGTTAAACTTATCAAAGTTGAGGTAGATATCTGGACTATTATGAAAGAGAGGTACCTACCTATTCCTTCCCCCTTTTCCTCCCCCTTTCTCTCCTTTCTTCCTTCTCTACCTCTTTCTTTCTTTCCTTCTTTCACTACTTGGTTTCATCCTTCTCTCTTTCCTTCATTCCCTCCCCCTTTCTTCCTTTGCCTTTCTTCCCTCCCTGTTTGCTTCCTTCTTTCACTTTTTATTTCCTTTTATTTCACCACCATCATAACAATAACAATAATGCAATGCATTGCCTCTGGGACCTGACACCTCTCCCATTCCCCCTAAAAGGGTCTCATAGGAATAATAGCAATAATAATAATAGAAATAACAACCTTTACCCGCCACACGTTGCTGTGGCCAACCTTCCCTCTTTCTCTCCTTCTTTCCCTCCTTCCTTCCTTCTCCCTCCCATCTTTCCTTCTCCTCTTCCTTCTCTATCTCTTTCCTTCCTTCCCCCTTTTTCTTTCTCTTCTGTCTCTTTTCTTCCTTCTCTCTTTCCTTCTTTCCTTCCCTCCCTCTTTCTCTACATCTTCCCCCTTCCTTCACTCCCTCTTTCCTTCCTTCATTCCCTTTTTTCTTTCCTTCTCTCCTTCCTTCCTTCCTTCCCCCTTTTTCTTTCCCTCCCTCTGTCTCTCATTTCTTCCTTCTCTACCTCTTTCCTTCCTTCCCCCTTTTTCTTTCTCTTCTGCTGTCTCTCCTTTTTTTCCTTCCATCTTTCCTTTTCTTTACTTTTCTTCTTCCTTCTTTCTCTAACTTTCCTTCCTTCCCCCTTTTTCTTTCCCTCCCTTTCTCTTTCTTCCTTCTTTCCTTCCTTCCCGTCTTTCCTGGATTTTGACAGGGCGGGAAGGGGCAGGGTGGGGTTTGGAGGTGGCGTGAAGTAAAAGGAGGTAAGATTGGGGCGGGGGAGTGATGGAGTGTGGGGTTGTGTGTGTGTGTGTGTGGCGGCGGGGGGAGTGATGGAGTGTGGGGTTGCGTGTGTGTGTGCGGCGGTGGGGGGAGTGGGGTTGCGTGTGTGTGTGCGGCGGCGGGGGGAGTGATGGAGCGTGGGGTTGTGTGTGTGTGTGTGGCGGCGGGGGGAGTGATGGAGCGTGGGGTTTTGTGTGTGTGTGTGGTTAAGTTTCGTTGGGGTTTTTTTGAGTTTTGTTGTTTTGCCGTTTTGTGAGTGTGTTGTTGTGTTGTTTTTCATTTTGAGTAGATATGTTTGTACCTTGTGGGTTGTGTTATGGGCATGGCAATTTTGGTTAAGTTTCGTTGGGGGGTTTTGGAGTTTTGTTGTTTTGCCGTTTTGTGAGTGTGTTGTTGTGTTGTTTTTCATTTTTAGTAGATATGTTTGTACCTTGTGGGTTGTGTTATGGGCATGGGAATTTTGGTTAAGTTTCGTTGGGTTTTTTTGAGTTTTGTTGTTTTGCCGTTTTGTGAGTGTGTTGTTGTGTTGTTTTTCATTTTGAGTAGATATGTTTGTACCTTGTGGGTTGTGTTATGGGCATGGGAATTTTGGTTAAGTTTCGTTGGGGTTTTTTTTAGTTTTGTTGTTTTGCCGTTTTGTGAGTGTGTTGTTGTGTTGTTTTTCATTTTGAGTAGATATGTTTGTACCTTGTGGGTTGTGTTATGGGCACGGGAATTTTGGTTAAGTTTCATTGGGTTTTTTTTAGTTTTGTTGTTTTGCCGTTTTGTGAGTGTGTTGTTGTGTTGTTTTTCATTTTGAGTAGATATGTTTGTACCTTGTGGGTTGTGTTATGGGCATGGGAATTTTGGTTAAGTTTCATTGGGGTTTTTTTTAGTTTTGTTGTTTTGCCATTTTGTGAGTGTGTTGTTGTGTTGTTTTTCATTTTGAGTAGATATGTTTGTACCTTGTGGGTTGTGTTATGGGCATGGCAATTTTGGTGCAGTTTCGTTGGGGGGTTGTGGAGTTTTGCTGTCCCGTTGAACCAACCTAACAGATTTATATATATAGATATCTGACTGACACTAGGAATTTATGCTAATGATAACACATTTCGTATGCTTTTTTGGATGTTCTGAAAATCCCACATGAGTACGGATATGATTTCTTAGACTGATCAATCACATCTCTTCTCAGCCACTATCAGAAGTCTTGAAAACATTCAGATACATAGAATTGTATGCCGTTCTGGACAAACATTTGGTAAGTCTCTGTCCATCAAAAGCTATACATTTCACTGTGACGGGTGGGATGTGCATACCAATTTAAATTACTGTATATACTCGAGTATAAGCCTAGTTTTTCAGCCCTTTTTTTAGGCTGAAAAAGTCCCCCTCGGCTTATACTCGAGTCAAGGTTATTTATTATTTTACTCTGTTATTGATATTATTATTTTCATTTCATTTATTATTTTATTCTATTTATTATTATTACATTTATCATTTTACTTTATTATTATACATTTATATTTACTCTATTATTGTAATTATTACATTTATTATTTTACTCTTATTATTATTATATTTACATTATTTTACTCTATTGTTATTATTGCATTTATTATTTTACTCTATTATTATTGTTATTAGAGTGCACCTATTTGTTGTTGTTCATTCGTTCAGTCGTCTCCGACTCTTCGTGACCTCATGGACCAGCCCACGCCAGAGCTCCCTGTCGGCCGTTACCACCCCCAGCTCCCTCAAGGTCAGTCCAGTCACTTCAAGGATGCCATCCATCCATCTTGCCCTTGGTCGGCCCCTCTTCCTTTTTCCTTCCACTTTCCCCAGCCTAATTGTCTTCTCTAGGCTTTCCTGTCTCCTCATGATGTGGCCAAAGTACTTCAACTTTGTCTCTAGTATCTTTCCCTCCAGTGAGCAGCCGGGCTTTATTTCCTGGAGGATGGACTGGTTGGATCTTCTCGCAGTCCAAGGCACTCTCAGAACTTTCCTCCAACACCACAGCTCAAAAGCATCGATCTTCCTTCGCTCAGCCTTCCCGAAGGTCCAGCTCTCACATCCGTAGGTTACTACAGGGAATACCATGGCTTTGACTAGGCGGATCTTTGTTGCCAGTCTGATGTCTCTACTCTTTACTATTTTATCGAGATTGGACATTGCTCTCCTCCCAAGAAGTAAGCGTCTTCTGATTTCCTGGCTGCAGTCTGCATCTGCAGTAATCTTTGCACCTAGAAATACAAAGTCTGTCATGGCCTCCACGGTTTCTCCCTCTATTTTCCAGTTGTCAATCATTCTTGTTGTCATCATCTTGGTTTTTTTGACGTTTAGCTGCAACCCGGCTTTTGCGCTTTCTTCTTTCACCTTGATTAGAAGGCTCCTCAGCTCCTCCTCGCTTTCGGCCATCAGAGTGGTGTCATCTGCATATCTGAGGTTGTTAATGTTTCTTCATCAAGCCCCACACATCCTCGCATGATGTGTTCTGCATACAAGTTAAAAAGGTTGGGTGAGAGTATGCAGCCTTGCCGTACGCCTTTCCCAATCTTGAACCAGTCTGTTGTTCCGTGGTCAGTTCTGACTGTTGCTCCTTGGTCCTTGTACAGATTCCTCAGGAGAGAGACAAGGTGGCTTGGGATGCCCATCCCACTAAGAACTTGCCACAATTTATTATGATCCACACAGTCAAAGGCTTTAGAATAGTCAATGAAGCAGAAGTAGATGTTTTTCTGAAACTCCCTGCCTTTCTCCATTATCCAGCGGATATTGGCAATCTGGTCTCTCGTTCCTCTGCCTTTTCTAAACCCAGCTTGAACATCTGGCAACTCTCGCTCCATGTATTGCTGGAGTCTTCCTTGCAGGATCTTGAGCATTACCTTACTGGCATGAGAAATAAGGGCCACTGTATGGAAGTTTGAGCAGTCTTTCGCATTTCCCTTTTTTGGTATGGGGATATAAGTTGATTTTTTCCAGTCTGATGGCCATTCTTGTGTTTTCCATATTTGCTGGCAAATGGCATGCATCACCTATTTACCCTATTATTATTACATTTATTATTTTAATCTATTTATTATTATTATTATTATTGTTATTATTATTATTATTATTATTATTATTATGGAGCCCTCGGTGGCGCAGTGGGTTAAACCCCTGTGCCGGCAGGACTGAAGACCGACAGGTCACAGGTTTGAATCCGGGGAGAAGCGGATGAGCTCCCTCTAGTAGCTCCAGCTCCTCATGCGGGGACATGAGAGAAGCCTCCCACAAGGATGATAAAACATCAAATCATCTGGACGTCCCCTGGGCAACGTCCTTGTAGACAGCCAATTCTCTCACAACATGACAAAAAATTATTATTATTATTATTATTATTATTATTATTATTATTACATTTACAGTATGTTACCCTATTATTATTACATTTATTATTTTACTCTATTATTACTGTTTTTATTGCATTTTCATTATTTTACTCTATTATTTTTATTATTTTAATGATAAGTACATTTACATTGAAGGAAGTTAGAATAATGGTTTAATAAGAGTTGGACAGTCTTATCTTAAATTACAGTTTATTACATTATTACATTTCTATTACTTTATACTATTATTATTACATTTATTATTTTACTCTTTTATTACTGAAAGGATGTGCAAACATATTTATACTGAAAAAGGTTGGTATCAGGGTTTAATCAGAGTTGGACAATCTAATCTTAAATTACAGTTTTATGTAAATATTCAGAAACGTTTAGCCTACTGATTCCTCAATTAATGTAATTTAATGGGTATCTAATTTTATTTTGAAATTGACCCATAGTGGATGCATTTCCCACCCTCGGCTTATACTTGAGCCAATATATATTCCCAGTGTTTTGAGATAAAATTAGGTGCCTCAGCTTATATTCGGGTTGGCTTATACTCGAGTATATACGGTAATAAGAGTTGGACAGTCTTATCTTAAATTACAATTTTTGTAAATATTCAAAAATATATAACCTACTGATTCCTCAATTAATGTAATTTAATTGGTATCTATTTTTATTTTGCAATTTACCCGTAGCAGCTGCATTTATATTCATAGAATCCTAGAATCCAAGAGTTGGAAGAGACCTCCTGGGCCATCCAGTCCAACCCCATTCTGCCAAGAAGCAGGAATATTGCATTCAAATCACCCCTGACAGATGGCCATCCAGCCTCTGTTTAAAAGCTTCCAAAGAAGGAGCCTCCACCACAGTCTGGAGCAGAGAGTTCCACTGCTGAACAGCTCTCACATAGACTCCAAGAGTTGGAAGAGACCTCCTGGGCCATCCAGTCCAACCCCATTCTGCCAAAAAGCAGGAAAATTGCATTCAAATCACCCCTGACAGATGGCCATCCAGCCTCTGTTTCAAAGCTTCCAAAGAAGGAGCCTCCAACACAGTCTGGAGCAGAGAGTTCCACTGCTGAACAGCTCTCACATAGACTCCAAGAGTTGGAAGAGACCTCCTGGGCCATCCAGTCCAACCCCATTCTGCCAAAAAGCAGGAAAATTGCATTCAAATCACCCCTGACAGATGGCCATCCAGCCTCTGTTTCAAAGCTTCCAAAGAAGGAGCCTCCAACACAGTCTGGAGCAGAGAGTTCCACTGCTGAACAGCTCTCACATAGACTCCAAGAGTTGGAAGAGACCTCCTGGGCCATCCAGTCCAACCCCATTCTGCCAAAAAGCAGGAAAATTGCATTCAAATCACCCCTGACAGATGGCCATCCAGCCTCTGTTTCAAAGCTTCCAAAGAAGGAGCCTCCAACACAGTCTGGAGCAGAGAGTTCCACTGCTGAACAGCTCTCACATAGACTCCAAGAGTTGGAAGAGACCTCCTGGGCCATCCAGTCCAACCCCATTCTGCCAAGAAGCAGGAAAATTGCATTCAAATCACCCCTGACAGATGGCCATCCAGCCTCTGTTTAAAAGCCTCCAAAGAAGGAGCCTCCACCACACTCCGGGGCAGAGAGTTCCACTGCTGAACGGATCTCACAGTCAGGACGTTCTTCCTCATGTTCAGGTGGAATCTCCTCTCTTGTAGTTTGAAGCCATTGCTCCATTGCGTCCTAGTCTCCAGGGAAGCAGAAAGGAAGCTTGCTCCCTCCTCCTCCCTGTGGCTTCCTCTCACATATTTATACATGGCCCTCATCATGTCTTCTCTCATCCTTCTCTTCTTCAGGCTAAACATGCCCAGCTCCTTAAGCCGCTCCTCATAGGGCTTGTTCTCCAGACCCTTGATCATTTGAGTCGCCCTCCTCTGGACACATTCCAGCTTAGAGTCAATATCTCTCTTGAATTCACTTACCCCCCAGTTGGGGATGTTTTCTTAGTTCGTTGTTTCGTTGGATTCTTTAATTTGATGGGAGGTGGCGACAGTTCTTGCAGGTTTCCCTGCTTTCCACAAGGCAGCCCGCTACCGGAGGATTTCCCCCCGGACCCCCTCTACCTCAACCCTCAACTTCGAATTGAGACTTAATCGGAACACCAATCTGAAAATATTCTAAACTGAAGCAACCAGTAGCATAAAATGGGACCTGCCTGAAGATTATCAGCTAAATTTTGGAATTATAGTTAAACTATTTAAGAAACTTAAATTAGACTTTCTCCTCTTTGGAAACCCTCGCTCCCCCCTCCCTCCCCTCCCAAAAGAACTCAAACCGTCTCAGTGAAGTATTTAAAGTTTATAAAGATTTAGAAAAGCCCACATCCGCATAGCAAAACCAAGAAAAATGGAGTAATTCTGACCTTGGCGCCATGTTGTTTTGACTATCCCGCGGGCTCCTTGTAAACAAAATCGACTGGAGTGACAAACAGAGGAAGTGACACGCCGGAGTAGCAAGGGATACCGGAAGGAGTGGAGTGGAAGGAAGGCGTCAGGACGGAGGGTATTTACAGTAACATCAGCAGTTCAGAAGGGCGGAAGTGACACAATTAATGGACACAGAGAAGGGCGGAAGAGGGCATCTCACCACTGTAATCTGAGACGGAAGCGAGGGGTAAGAAATAAAATTCAAAGAAAATTTAAAGAAATACTGTGGGGAGAGGAGGGAGTAGAGGGCAAATAAGAGGAGAGGGACGCGGAGAACGGCGGAGAACTGCGTGCTGGTGGAAGTTTAACGAAGGCAGCCAAGTAGTGAGCGGACGGGACCATCACCATCAGGAAGAAGAGGCAACGGGATATTGGCTTTGGAGGCAGAGAAGAGACAGAGAAGAAAAGTGGGAATTGG